GGAAGCCAGTGGGTGCAAGCGGCACTTATTCCATGGGAGATTGAAAACGACAGCGTTTGGAAAGGATCTGTGTGGAAGCCAGTGGGTGCAAGCGGCACTTATTCCATGGGAGATTGAAAACGACAGCGTTTGGAAAGGATCTGTGTGGAAGCCAGTGGGTGCAAGCGGCACTTATTCCATGGGAGATTGAAAACGACAGCGTTTGGAAAGGATCTGTGTGGACCCCACTCTAGTTGGAGAGTTAGTTTCAATAATAATAATAATAATAATTTATTTATTCGAGAAAATGAAGGAATAAATGGTGGTCCTGCATTCCGTACAAGTTAGTATGTTTCTCTTGTTAGGAAATTAATTCTTTTTTTATTCCATTTCTCCTTTATCTAATCCTTAAACTTTTCAAAATATATTTTTTAATTAAATTGTCGCTATGCCGATCATTGTAGCTAGCCCATGCATTACTAGAAATCACGACTCTTCACAATTGTATGATATTATCCACTTTGAACAACATAAGCTCTCATGGTTTTACTTTGGGCTTCTCCAAAATGTCTTATAAACCCATGATCATTCCTTAAATTAGCCAATGTGGGACAATCCTCAACATGCATACCAGCATTCGCTTTGTCAACCTAGCTCGATCGACATGCGCGTACTCAAATCAACATACTCTTTTGGTGTGTGCACCAGCCATCCAGCTGTAGCCCTAATCAGGGGTCGCATGTGACTCATTCTAGTCGATTTTCAGTGTTCAGCTCTCGTCTCTACTCGATGACTTTCTCGATTTAAACGAGCCAGTTCAAAATCGTTAACCCATTCTACTGTTTTGGTTGTTTTGGATTTTGCAATTGAATTATACAGCGATTGATTGATGAATCTATCTATCTCGGACGTGATCGTGATTAAGATAATAAATAACTATTGAAAAATATGAAGATTTAGAAAGAAGATATAAGAATACTTTTTGACCAAGTTATGAAGGATTTGAGTGGAAAGTAAGAAACATGATGAACAAAGAATATGATAAAGACATGAAAGGATTGGACAAAGAAAAAGGATCATTGGAGAAAGATTCTCAACCCTATTTGCTTCCACACTTCCATAGTCCAAATCAATATTAATTCCCTTTGTCCTTTACTTTACGATCAACCCGGCCTACCTTAAGCTATTGATGTTGGGTTGAGTTAGAATTTTTTTCGATTTGGGTTGAGTTGGGTAAAAAAAAATTGAATTAAAAAGTTTGGGTCGGTTTGTGGGTTGACATATCTTTTGTCGGGTCAACCCGACTAACTAAAAAATAGGGTTACAATTCAACTCTACTCTACGCTACTTTTAAATTTATTATGAAAATTAAGAATATTTAACCTTTATAACCAATGTCAGTGGTGTGTTGTGACTTATGAATGTTTGATATTTGAACTTTATGAGATTTTAGTTATTAATATAACATGTATCGTAGATAAGTAGGGGGTTCAGTTGGGTTCAGTTGCGAAATTGATTCCGGTTGCTCAAATTATCAACCCAAAATGTTAGGTTGGTCTAAAAAATTTCTCAAACCAACCCGAAATACGTCTAATTAATATGAAATATAAATTTATAAACATATTTCAAAATTTAATTTCTTTAATTCAACATAGAAAATAAGCATTTAAATATTTGATAATTATGTTAACTAGTAAAAATAGGGTAAATATGCTTGAATTTAAAATGGAGGAAAAGGGTATAAAAATGTACCACAAAAATGCTAAAAACAATGGTAAAGGCATTTTTACGCCACAATTTATCAAAATTATATATTATTCCTTTCTTTCCGAATATTTCTGATAAGATAAGGAAATCAACTACAAGGGGGTAAGATTCGGATTACCTTGTTAATCGAATATCTCAAGACAAGAACATTGTTTGAGATTCGAATCACTCCAGAAGCAAGATCGATCATGTCTAGCTTCAATGATTCTTGTTGATCAAATATCGCAAACACTTGTTTGAGATTCGAATCACTCCACAACCAAGATTGATCATGTCGAGCTTAAATGATTCTACATGCAATCTAAACTACATAAAATTGCAAAGAAACTTAGCCATCGGCCAAAGAAAAGCACAAATGCTTCTTTACTATATTTTCCAAGTCTACTTACAAATACAACATACATGGCTTTATATAGTCTCAAAAAATGAAACTATTAAAGGCATTACAAGAGTGGTAACATTCATACTTAATGGCCATAATTAGCCATTATGTAATTGTAACCTAAATATGTAATTGTAACCTAAAGTAAATAAAAAGTCTTAAAATACAATAAATCTAAATTACTCTAAATTGTAACTCACCCAGAATTTACAACAATCAAACTTTATTCTTCTTCAATGTAGCAGAATAGAAACATCTTTTGATAATTTTGACAACCTTTTTTTCACATCTTCATTGAAGTATATTGTATGATTGATGTCTCTTGGTTCATATCAATTTCTCTAAAAGAATTATTTAAATTTATGTAAATAAAAATTAAATTACAAGTTTAAAAAAATTAATAAACACAAAAAATTTCTAGTAAATCTAAAAAAAAATATTTTATTTTTGTTGAATAAATCCATTTCAATTTTAACAAAAAAAAATCATAATAAATGGTATTGAAAAAATTGAAAAAATTGAAAAAATTATTTAATTTTAAATTTAATTGAAAGATTAAAAAGATATTAAAGAATTATTAAAGTTGGTTAAAGATTAAATTCGAGAATAATTTTATCTGTGAAAGGAAGAAAAGAATAAAAATAAAAAGAATAAAATAAATTAGAAATAAAAGATCAATAAAAATATATTTATTTTAATTAAATATTTAAAAATAAAATAAAATAGTATTATGAATTGACTCATTGGAGACTTTGAAAGGGCTGGTGGGGCCCACAGAAGAGAGCGACTGACACGGACTTTTAACTCCTTCTTTTAAGCCACCAGACGCCACGTCATCCGAATGACGAAAGAGTAAGTAAATGACACGTTGGCCCCACCGTAGCCCACGTCAGCATCTCCTGATTGGCCAATCCGCACGCGTTTGGTTTCCTGTTTCTTTCTTCGTCGCCAAGAATTTTGTACCTCACGCTCCCCCCATTTACTTTGGTATTAAGTCTTTTATTTTTACTATTTTTAATTTTTTTAATTTTAAATTGTGTTTTATTTACTTTTTTTTAAAATTAATTATATTATTTAATAAACTTTTGTGACACTGGAATAAAATAAAGGTATATGAATGAACCGATACCGACTAAAAGATATAAAGAGAATTAAAAGTATTAGCCGACTCAATCATAAAAACTTCAAAATTAAGTTACTTTACTTTAAACAATTCTATGACGGGAGACCTTATGAAAATTTTACTAAAAAGCTTGTGAGTACAAAGGGAGATATGTTGGTTCGTGGGATAGGATAATGTCTAGGTCATCAGGTGTCAGGTCGAGAATCCAAATTAGTGTAAGATCTTCATAAACTCGTTAATGTAGATTTTAACGAAAGGTTTAGCTCCAAGGGCCATTTAGTTACGGGTCAATTTGGGTTTAGGTAGTTAACGTCACTTGAGTCCAATATTAAAATTTGGGACTAATTCCTAAATTTTGTTCCTTACAAATTATTAATATTTCTGGCGTACTTTGAGAAACAAAAACAAGATTGAATAGATGAATGAGTTTCGGAGCTTCATTGGGATCACTAACAACATTAAACTTTCTTATTTTCATTAAACTTCATTTTCCTTACCTAAAATAATCGTTACCTTTGTTACTAACAAATAAATCTTTAAATCAAATATCGTGGTAACTAAGTTATGGGTATAATTATGAACTTATAAGTAGGCTACTTATCGAGTATTTTATAGTAACCAGTTATTACCCTTTTTTCTGTTGGTTGAGGAGGGGGCGTTTAGGAGTTGTGCGCCCACAAAGGAGGGTCATTTTATATCGTCAGTCTTTTCAATTTTAATTTGTAATTTAGTTGTGTCTCGATCCCTAGTCCCTAGTATTGTATTTAATTCAAATAGTACTTTTGAAATGTAAATATATTTGTTTATATATATATTTAAATGTTAACGTTTTTTTTATCATACTTTTCATTATTTTAAGTCGCAAATGAATGTTGTTTCATGGTTAAGTAGTGCATTGATTTAGGGCGCAAAATTGCACTCCAAATTGGCAATTTTGATACATCATTCGAGGCAATGTTGGGGCGAGTCGCAACCTGCTAGCTGGCTTGTAGTATTATTGCAACCGAGTCACATAGCCGAACTATAAGATTCCTTGTGACCATAGAATTATTTTGACATTTTTACCTTTTTCCTTTTGTGTTTGTGTTTAGATCTACCATTATAGACTTTTAAACTTTTCTTTAAACTTTTGATCAATTCTGATAGGTCTAAAATTTTAGAAGGTATTTAATTGGTGTTTATGGTTTAAAGCCAAAATAAGGGAATAGATAAATGGCAAAGAAAAAGAAAAAAAACATCAACATATGGCAAACCTATAGCTCGAGGTTGCAAAAATGGTGACAACCAAACTAGAACACTACAAGAGATTCTATAAACTATAAGGTGTTGATATTCGTGCAATAACTAAGACATCGAGGTGATACTCGTTTTCATCTTTGACAGCACACTTGTGGAAAAACGATGAAATAAGAAAATATTAATAAATGATGATTCTCGAAGCAACATATTCCCCTTTTATATAATTTTTTCCCAAAAGAGATTGTTACGGGTCAATTTACTTTTTTTACGTCTTACTAGCATGTTACGACAGGTTCTTTAACGTATTCCACAACCCGTTCTTAATGGTCCCAATTTCCTTTAATTAAATTTATGTGATGACTCGAACTTGAACTATATGGATATTGACTCGAACTTGAACTATACGTTGGATATTGTCATTCTTCGGTTCAAAACACTTCCTAATTTCCTATAAAATTCATCCAAAATAATTTATTCCATGAATTTTAACGCAAGCATAGCTCACGCTAAACTTGGCAAAATTACACAACAACAAACAACTCATAGTGGAACAATAGATTTTGTATATGATTTTACCTTATAAGACAACTTTAGTTGCTAATTCCGATATTTATATGTTTGAACATCTTAAACCAAATTATAATATATAGTTTTTGGCATTTTAAATAGAAAGTCAATATTTTTCTCCATTTGCTACTACTTCTTATAGGCTTTCAATATTTAACAACTACATATTGAAGGTGCCCGTCATTGGTTCTTGTTCTTCCCTTATCCATCAAAAGGGCCATGGCAGACATTTTTTCACATTACATTAATTGTTTTGCATTAAGCTTTTTCTTAAAATGAAAGAGTTAGTGAACTATAGAATCCAAGTGAGTTGTCTCTCCCCTAGCCCCTAAGTTGTAATTCATCAATAAATGTCGATATACTGTAAGAATACGTAAGAATACGATTTTACCAATATATCATCGATATATCGATGAATATCAACAATATCTTTATTCCTAGTAAGCAAATAGTAACTGTACACAAAAAGGAGTAAACAAAATCCAACCATCATCATTGAATGCAACTCTGAAACGTTTTTGGACCAAATGGCTGAAATTCATGTCGTAGACTAATATGACTTGGCCAAACCCCAAATGAAACAATTCCTCTCAGAAAAGTTTTCAAAGGAAAACTAGTATGAAGAACCATTAGAACTCTCAATTGATTACCAAATTAGTTCATGAATTACAATATACAAGGACAGTGTACATACTGCTAGAGAAGCTTACTTTGGGATAGAGGTGTGAGATCACTCATCGGTTGAGGAGAACGGAGCATGCTTTATAAGGGTCGATTAGGGAGGAGAATGAAGCACTCTTTGTAAGGGTCGGTTAGGGAGGGGAATGAAGCACTCTTTGTAAGGGTCGGTTAGGGAGGAGAACAAAGCACTCTTTATAAGGGTCGGTTAGGGAGGAGAACAAAGCACTTTTTATAAGGGTCGGTTAGGGAGGAGAACAAAGCACTTTTTATAAGGGTCGGTTAGGGAGGAGAACGAAGCCTTCTTTAAAAGGGTTGGTTAGGGAGGAGAACGAAGCATTCTTTAAAAGGGTTGGTTAGGGAAGAGAACAAAGCATTCTTTATAAGGGTTGGTTAGGGAGGAGAACAAAGCATTCTTTATAAGGGTTGGTTAGGGAGGAGAACGAAGCATTCTTTATAAGTGTGGAAACTTCTTCCTAGCAAACGGATTTTAAAAACCTTGAGGGGAAGCCCAAGAAGGAAAGCCCAAAGAGGATAGTGTCGACTAGCAGTAAAGTTGGGCCGTTACAGGACGGTTACAGGAGGGTTTCTCAAGATGGGGCTAATTAGTTGGACAGGCATGAATAGGAATTATATCTACATTTACATAATAAATGGTCAAAATGAATGTATTTTATCTTCCCTAACAAACAGGCCTGGAACATAGAAGAAGGAACTTATAAGAATTTAGGATGTGTCATGAGGGAAAGCAAAGTCACAGACAAAAACTATCTGTTGTCATGACGACTTAAACAAGAATTCCTATTCTGAGCACGATAGCTTTAATCTAAATGGTGAAAATATCAACTCCAATAAGAGGTTTTAGCAAGGCAATCCAAGATGGCACCATTGGGTACCTTGCATTCAATTTTCTAGATGACCAAAGATTTTGATCTCTTCATATTAAATTAAGCTATTTGGCATATAGATATAACTAGGAGATTCATAAGAATACACACAAAAAACCCAACATAGTTTTGTGCATATGACCCAATTTACATGAACAAAATGTAGAAAACAAAATGTTGATGGTTCAAGTGCAATGAGAGAGTTCATCCATAAACAACCTAACCTAAATTCTTCGCATCATAATTAGAATCTAGAGCTCACAGTGAAGGCAGTACGCGCTATAGGATCATCATAGGATCATGAAGTAAGGATTCGAATCTTTATATAAGATAAGGAAACAACGTTGCTACAACGCTACAACAATGCTCAGAATGCTTTAGTTAAAGTTTCTTGTTAGGGTGGTAAGGTTTAGTTTGGGAGCTAGGCCTTGAGGAAATCTCTCTTTTCTGGATTGTCTACTGAAGAAAATATGCCAAAGAATGAGGAAGAATAACCCCAAGACCATATTCTAGATGTGTGAATGCAAATGAAGCAAAATCAGCATAAACAATGATGATAGACTGAATATTCTAGCAGAAGAAACTTCAAAATAATGATGCAACTACAAGAACGAAGCTAATTCCAAAATCATTTAAATTAACAAGTCATTGATCCAAGTCAAAATTTTCATCCAGCATATATAAAATGGAAAAGAGTTCATGCGTTAAAACCAGACATTCTAGCTCTTGGAAGCTAGTTTTTCCTTTGCCTTCTGGATCTTCAATACCTTTTTCACAATCTTTTGCTCTTCAACCAAAAAAGCTCTTATAATCCTACAACATCAAGAGAAGATCTTTAGAAATGCTCAAGCAACCATCAATACTGAGACGAAAACGCAATGCAGTAATGAACATCAAAGAGTAAAGAAACACACCTCTCTCTAACAGCACCGCCAGACAGTACACCACCATAGGCACGGTTTACAGTCCTACGGTTCCTAGCCAGCCTAGACCTCTTGTATTCAGCAGGCCTCAAGTGAGGAATCTGTTAAAGGAAATCAGTATAACATCAGATACAAACAATCAATTAGATTGAAATATTGTGGGAACCAGTTCTAAAATTCACCATAATTTGAACAAAACGAACACCGTGATTGTGAAAAATAAAGGAAATACAAAACAACAATGGCTGACTGTAAGCCAACAAATTAGCGACTAGTTACACATGAAGAAATCAGGAAGAATATCCGCAAAAACTAGATTGACTACGATGAACATCAAATTCCACAAGCAAAAGAGCATTAGCATACGAGGACATCACAAGTCCACCAGCTAAAACTTACAAAAATTACTCCACAAAATACACAATACTCGAAAACGAAACCAAAAAAAGTTGCCAAAATTCAAATCTACATCTCTGATGCTAACTTATTCAATGAAAACAATAGGCAAAACAAAATAAATACGTATACGCACCCCTTGAATTCTCTTTCCAGTTACAGGACATTTAGGACCACTGGCTCTCTTCTTCGTGGTCTGATACACAAGCTTCCCACCTAAGAATCAAACCACACATCATCGATTAAGCAACTGAAACCAGATCTTGCAAATAAATGCAGAAGCATACGAGAAATTCATCAAAACAACGAACGATAAGAGATGTAATTCATAGAATGCTCCATGATACAGAAGAAGAACAATGTGTATTTACCGGGGGTCTTGACGACGCGGTGCTGGTTGGATTTGGTGGCATAGCTGTGCCGCTTACGGTAAGTGAGCCGCTGGACCATCTTCTCCGCTCGTCGGAACCCTCTAAAGCTGTTGCCGAAGAATTGTAAGAGGGAACAATAGAACCAACACGGGACTGAAGAATATCGGTATATTAGGGTTTTTCAGTCTCCAATGCCCTGGATCTGACGGCTGATATGCGTTTGAATCAACGCTCACGATCATAAGTTCACAAAAGGGAAAATGATTTTAAAATTAGGTAAATTAAAATTACAGACATAAAATTTAAAATTTTAAACTTTCAAAATTTATTATATATATAATAATAATAAATAGGCGAGTATTCACCAAAAATATTTTTAAAATATAATAATATAATATAGTAATAATAAACGTCATACTTTTATTTGTCCATCATTTTTTAGCTACCACATCATCACGTCGTGTATGTTATCTCGACTGTAATTTCTTCATTTTAGCTCTCATTTGAGTGATTGAAAAGTCGTTGAAATCGTTATTCCCAACCTTGTGGACAGTTTAAGATACTGGAAATTATTAATAATTAAAGAGTAGGTCTGTTATCATCAAAACATCAATCAATTAATTGATTGAAATTAATTAAAACGAGATTAAGGGCCAAAAAGCCACACCTGTCTTTTCATAAAAAAACATAATAGTCTTGAACTTTACTTTCCGATTCGAGAAAAATTAGATATGTAGTACTTCTCTGCACACGACTCATGCAAGCGCACATGGACTCATCGAGCGAGCGAGCTCGTATGCGTAGCCTTGAACTTTGCCTTCGACTAGGACACGCTCACGCTGCCAGAGCCACAAACGGAAATGAGCCCACATAATATCATGATGTATGTAATATTGTAATGTACGCATTCGTAATTATCATAACGAAGAAATATCCCGATACACGTACCATACAAAAAGCATGAGGTCTCGTAGTATCAAATCATGACATATACTTATGATGTAAGTTATACCTCAATTCTCTTCATGACATAGCATTCCGGAGAGACATGTATATGTAGAAAACTTGTCAATGTCTCATAGACATAAAGTGAACATGCTGACATGATACGTGGTGTGACACTTGAAGATTCATGCATAATATAACATTGATATCACAATGTAATTTCATATCATAGTATAACTTATATTATAGCATAAGTCATCACATAACATAACTCATGTGATCAAATATAAAACATGACATGTGCAGAGGCCACAAGTCATACGTCATTCATAAACATACTCTCCCAAAGTAATTAATTAATTTATTTATTTTTAAATATAATAATATAATATAAAAATTTATTAAAAATAATTAAAAATAATTAAATTTGTTACTGAGGGTCATACTTTGATTGGTCCATGATGTCAATTTTGTCGACACATCATCTCGGATTTGTTACTCTTCCAAAGTTCTAAGTATAATTGGTCCATGATGTCAATTTTTTCGCCACATCATCATATCGGGTATCTTGTGATTGGTCTGTCAATTTTGTCGTTGCGGGTATCTTGTTTCGGTAACTCTTTCGTTTTAGCTTTGATTTGGGTGATTGAAAATGTGTTGAAATCGTTATTCCCAACCGTATTGTTAATAATTAAGTGTAAGTTTGTTATCATCGAAACATCAATTAATTAATTTGAGATTAAAGGCAAAAAATCTAACATTTTTGTCATGCGCTTTGTACTAAGCCTCGTATTGTACAAAGCCTCGTATTTATTTATTTATCTAATGATTTATAATATTCATAAGATCCAATGTCTTTATCTTGATAAGAGTATTAAATGCAACTCACTTTATAATTATTACAAATAATTTAAACTAATAAACTACAAATATTCAATCTCTTTATAAATCCGTTAATTAATTTTACAACATGATCATATGCGTTTTAATCTAGAATGAATTACGAACACAAACTTATTAAATTCAAAGTTCTCAAAATTCAGGTTAAACAACTCAACACTCCAAACATATTACTCCAAGCATGAACTTATTATGACTCCGAGGACTAAACAACCGACTTCATAACTCACTTCAGCCATAAAAACTACATAGAACACACAAAGTACATAGAAAATTAGCCATAAAAAGCTTTCAAAGAAGGATTGTATCAGATTGTAATAGTTTATTACATGAGCTTCATCTGCAGAATCCATAGTAAATGTTTGAGTGAGTAAGCTTAATGAAGAAAAATCTTAAGGTTTTCAATGTCTAGACATTAGGACATGCGCTGCTGTTCATTCTTCATACAATTCTGATAGCTTTCAAGAAAAAAGACAGCATTTCTCCACACAAGCTTGGTTCAATATTGAACCTCAAAAGCCTATTTTCTAGAACGTATAGAAATCGAACCATATACACAAATACAAATCTCTGAACCAAAAGTAGTATAAAAATGATTGAATACTTGGAGTGCAGGAGCATTAAAATCGAATGAAAAATATGTTAGAAATCACAGATCTCCACAATGGTATGATATTGTCCACTTTGAGCATGAGCTCTTGTAGTTTTTGATTTGGAAAGGAACCCGAATAATGCGGGGCCCTTGCTATATTTCATGTTTCTCTTTGGTTTTAGGTTAGTTATTCTAGGTGTTATTAAATGTTCTCTCTTTAGAGGCGCTCCTTTTCTGTTTTTTTTTGGTGGTGGTGGTCCCTGTATTCTTTAATTTTATAATAAAAATACCACGAGCGATAGAGTGCAATGTCAACTTTATTTTAAGCCAACCAATGGGGAGACGAATCTTTGCCCCATTGAAATTTAATTTGGAAATTTAAGATGCCAAAAAAGGTCGAAGTCTTCCTTAGGTCGCTGTCTCAGAAGTTTGAATACTCACGAAAAACTTCAAAAGGAAATGCCGAAATTGGGTGATGTTTCCCTCTGTTTGTTGTGTATGTTTACAGAAGGAAGAATCCCTAGACCATTTCGTCCTTCACTGCCCCCTTTTTGCGGATAAAGGGTTCCAGGGTTTATTTTAAGAATTTAGCGTTGAGTTTTCGAAGGTTTGTTGGTGATAGGGGAAAAGTCATTTGGCGTTGTGCAACGCGCTCTCTTCCTCGGGGCCTTTGGAGGGAAAGGAACAACCAAGTGTTTGAAAATAAGTTCTCTCCTTTTGATTATTTTTGTTTTTGCTACAACAGAATGCCTCTTGGTGGTGTACAAATCATGCTAAATTCTTTTGTAATTACAGTCCTTTAATGATAATTAACGATTCGAAAGATTTCCTTTGTTAGTTCTTTAGGGGGGGGGATAATCTCTACCCACTGCTCTTAGGCCATCTCTTTTGGTTCTCTAGAAGAACATACGTATTAAAAAAAACTTATCATTGTAATTAATACCCAATAATATTGTTTTCGAAACATAGAAGGATCCTAAGGCCAGAAGAATGCACAAAGGAATTGAACCCAACTGAGAACTTCAATTTTTCTTCAAGTTTGTCGCCTAGTCTAAGGAATTTGTCCATTTGTTTCATGTAGCCACAACTCTATATAAGCATTATAATTTTTCAATCAAGACTAAGAGAATAAATTTCACAAAAAACCACAACGTGTAAATTTATTAACATTGAAACAGACATACAAAATCAAGCCTACAATAGCAATTCTAGACTGACGAAGAAGATAAAGCAATGAATACTAAATCTGTCCAGGTCGAACTGGTGGCAGATTGATCAAGTTTATTCTACTCTGATCTTTTCTAGGGGAAAAACAAGACTAAATGGGAGAAACAGAAAACGAATTTTTATATTTATACTCACTATGTTCCCATACTCACACGAGGTTCTACTTTCATTAGTCGCTGCTCCAAACGCTGTGTTCGTGAAAGCAATGCAGCTTCAACAACCTAAAATATTAAAAAAAAACGTACTACGGTAATACAACTTAAAGAAGAGAGTGCTTAAGATGAATGTCAAGCAAGCTTAATGCAAGTTACGAGAACACATGACCATGAACTATTGAAATAAACCACGGATTCAAGAAATACTGGTTCCTTTTCAGTCCGATTTTCTTTTTCATCGTTATGAGAAACTTTCATTTGCAGCCTAGTCATTTTTTTGTCAAGTTTTCTCCTCTTACATAACTCTTTCCTTTCAAATGTATGGTTCTTTACTGTAATAGCTAACTACAATATAGCCCAACAAGAGACAAGCTGAAAAACTTTCTTGGCCACTCAAAAGTGATGTCCAAATTGCTGGGTTTCTAGATTAGGGAGAATAACTTCTAATCATTTCCTGTCCTACTCGAAAGGCTGGCTGGGGGATACAAATGTGGGCTCTCACCTCTTTCAGGTTTGAAAATATGCAGCTTGATCATTAAAAAAATGAAAAATATTAATGTAATAGTCTACCTGGATAAAGCACGTATGCAAGGTTGGGTGGAACATGATTATATGATAAAATTGAAAGCTTTATAATCATCCGTCAAGTTTGGAACAAAGAGGTTGTCGGAGATGCTCACTAGTAAAAAAAATGGGTTTCTTTTCGTGATAAAGGGCCTTGGTTGATTTAGAAGACTCTTATCTCCACTTTGATTCTCAAAATGACATTAGGCTCAGCCTAAAGTTCCAGCATTTCGATTTCACAGAAAAAGAAGAAATTTTTTTAGAGATCAAGAACTAAATCTAAATGTCTCCATGATGAGAATCTCTCATCCTTCTATCGTTGGGCTAACTGATGGCACATATAACAAATTTTTAGACTCAGAGACAACTAATTTAAAAGGAGAAAGCCCTTTCTCTAATATAAAATGAGAGAGCCCGTTTAGAAAAGTAAACAAAGGTCTCACATTGTCTAGAAAATGGAAAGATTCGTGATATATAAATGAAGACGAGGCCTTTTGAACAAAACTAAAACTAGCTTATGCCAAAATAGACAATATCATACCATTGTGGAGAAATATGAAGAGTTCATTGTCCCCAATAGAGATATGTAGATAATATCATAACCTTGTGCACATTTGTAAAGATATGCAAACAACAAACTCTCTACCTATCTGAGTTAGGATTCAGATAGGATTAATGAACCCTCCACATGTTTCCACTTTGGCATAAACCCTCGTAACATTGTTTCAGTTTTACACAAAAATCTCATATCAATGGGGATAATTGTTCTCCTTATATAGCATGGATCTTTCCTAACCTTAGACAATATGGGACTATTTGTACTCCTCAATAGTACGATGTTAGCTACTTTGGACATAAACTCTCACCAGTTTGCTTTTAGTTTTACCCAAAAAAAAAAAAACCTTGTATCATTGGAGATAATCGTAGAATTTTCCTCGACAAAATACCACCTGAGTCCCCTTATATAGTCATTCGTTTATCTACTCCCTACTAGCAACAATAGCTTGCTATTATCAAGACAGGCAACATGCTTGTATAGAGCCCAACCAGGGATCACGTTATGGGATATACCATTGTTGACCACTCTCACATCCTTAATATGTTAGGTTATGGAACTGTTGCTTATTTATAGTTTAGTCAACTGTTATACATAGTAATCAACTGTTATACATAGTAAAGCTATATATGGTAAATGATGTCATAACTAGTAAATAGTAAAAAGCTATATCCGGTAAAGCTATATATATGTAGATAGTGGTAAATGATGTCATAAATAGTAAATAGTAAAAAGTTATATATGGTAGATAGTTATATATAGTAGATGGTTATATCTGGTAAAACTATATATAGTAAGCTCCTTTCGGAGACTTTCTTCTCGAAAGAAGACAAGAAGCTAAGAGATCAGGTAATGACGAAATGTCCTATGTTTACTGTTTACAAGATTCTGATGAACTCGTAGATTGGGTATTAACATTCACCCTATAATAGAAGCACAGTAACAGAGATCTGTAGTCTTGATTGATATAACCATTTGACAATATATATATATATATATTCCCTCCGTCCGAGCTTTGAAAATGTACTTATGGATTCTTTGTATTCTCTCTGACTGTACATACCTGAAGTCATCAATACAAATCCTTTTAGCCAGAGTTCTCCTTGCATTTTCTCTCTCCTGTTCTTTGTGTTCATCTAGATCAAGTGTTTGCGTTGTTATGTGATCCTAACAACTAGTATCAGAGATAGGCGGAATTCACCACGATCTGTGAAGATGGAAAGCTTAAAAATTGGAATTGAGAAATTCGATGGATCCGATTTTGGTCACTGGAAGATGCAGATTGAAGATTATCTGTACCAGAAAGATCTTCACGAACCCTAGTTGAGGGCTATGCCGGATACCATGACCACGGAGCAGTGGAAGTTCAAGGAATGACAAGCGTTAGCGTTGATCCAATTGACGTTATCCAGAAACGTGGCGTTCAACATCATCAAGGAGAAGACAACGTTAGATCTGTTGAAGGTGGCAGATACTCAAGAAACTTCTGAGACTGTTGGAGAGGAACCAGCAGTGGAGAAAGTGACACCTGAATTGGTGTTGAGAAGATCATCCAGTACTATCAGTGTACCAGATACGTATGTACCTTCATTACACTATCTGTTGTTGACTCTGATGAAAGGGAACTAGAGTCCTTTGATGAGGCCCTACAGTTGGAGGATACAACCAAGTAGGAGCAAGTCATGGATGATGGGATGTCAAGCTTCAAAAATGCGTTGTACTGAGGCTGAGTACGTGGCAATAGCTGAAGCTGGAACGGAGACGATATGGATGACTGACTATCTAGAATTGAATATGGATGGCTGACTATCTAGAAGAATTGAACATGAAGCAACACGAAAAGATTCTTTATAGAGATAGTTAGAGTGTCATACAGTTGGTGAGGAACCCGATCTATCATTTAAAGAAAAAACACAGAAGGCGATACCATTTCACTCGCAGGTTAGTGGAAGATGGTGATGTGTTTAGAGAAGATAGAGGGTGCAAAGAATCCAACAAACATGTTACAAAATGTGTTGATGTTGGAATATTGAGGTTGTGCAAAACCTCAATTGGTATGGTGCACTGAAGATGTTCACGGTCGTTTGAGAATGAAATTCTTGGTTGACTGGATCAGTCTCCAAGTGGGAGAATTGTTAGGTTATGGAGCTTGTTGCTTATTTATAGCTTAGTCCGCGATTATATATAGTAAAGCATATATGGTAAATGACTACGTTGTCATAAATAGTAATTATAGCTTAGTCCGCGGTTATATATAGTAAAGCATATAGGGTAAATGACATATAAAGTAAATTGTCATAAATAGTAAAAGGTTAAGGAGCTCGTTGCTTATTTATAGCTTAGTCCGTGGTTATATATAGTAAAGCAGTAAATGACATATAAATTGCCATAAATAGTAAATAGCTCTGTATAGTAAAAAATAGCTCTGTCCGATAAAGCTATGTATGGTAGATAGTTAGCTTATTTATAGCTTAGTCAGCGGTTATATAGGGTAAATGACATATAAAGTAAATTGTCATAAATAATAAATAGTAAATAGCTCTGTATAGTAAAAAACTATATTCGGTAAAGCTATGTATGGTAGATAATTATATATAATAAATGGTTATATATGGTAAAGCTATATACAGTAAGCTGAACCATATATATATCCCCCATCATAGCTTTGAAAATGTATTTTTCTGTATTCTCTCTTACGGTACATACCTGACACCTGACGTCATCAATACAAATCTTTTTAGTCAGAGTTCTCCTTGCATTTTCTCTCTCCTGTTATTTGTGTTCATCTAGATCGAGTATGTGCGTTGTTGTGCGATCCTAACATAATCTCCTCCCCCATGAACAAAGATACTCTCCTAATCAATCTACCTTGATAGTACTATTCTTTATCTTACTATCAGTATGCTAAACTTGCTAGAGCTCTACTAGCTCTCACTCAAGTAGTTTTTGTTCAATCTAGGGTTTCATCTACAATTTCATATGACTCTAAGGTTCACTAATTTGTTGTGACTATGAGGATTTTACTAACACAGCTAGATTTAGACTACGGTCTTGAACCATTTTGTCAAAGACAACTAACCCCCACATACCTCTTTCGAATGGTATGGTACTATCCAATTTGAGCATAGTCTCATGCCTTAATTTTTTAGTTCACTTAAAACATATCGTATCAATGAGACGTTGTCTTTCATTTATATACGGAGATGTTCTCCTTGTCCAACCAATATAGAAGATTGATTGCGTTCCCACAACTCTTACAATGATAGATTAAAGAAGTTCTCCTTGTCCAACCAATATAGAAGTTTGATCGCATTCCCACAATTCATAAAATGATAGATTAAAGAAGATCGCATTCCCACAACTCTTGAAAGGGGCATGCAAAGTTGGTAGGTGTAAGGTGTCACGGTCGTACTTTCTCAATCGTGCAGCGTCGTGATCTTGACACGCTCAAGACCAGCTTTGAGGGGAACCCAAGTCCCATATTCATTTTTCGCTCGGCTTTGTAGCTTCATCGAATCTTCGGCGAGATTTGTCTTTGCCAACCGAACATCGGGTTGTGCGGGATCCAAGCTTGTTCGGCCACACACACCGCCTGCGCATGCATGTTCAATCATCTACAACACAATCGACTTGCCTGTACACTAGGCCAAGTCATTCGGCTCAACCTTGCCTTTACTCGGGCCAAGGTCTCTCGTATGCAACATGGCATCCAACATCATTTTTGTTCCTAATTAACATGGCCCATATGTATTGACGTCATCCCAAGTCACGGGGTGTCGTCGGCCATCGCAACTCACTCGGTCATGCCATCGAGAACGAGCCCTTGTGTCGTTTATAACATCAGAACATCCCGAACATCTATCCATCCGAGTTATATTGAGGCATTGGACCTCCCATGCCCATGTCATGTCATTTATGGACTCTGTACCGAATAGCAGGTGCATAATCCAACCTCCGACACATAGGTTGGGGCACAATACCAACACACCTGTGTCGTCCAGTACTGTCCTTGAAACACTCATTTCAAAGGGAGTCGCCCGAGACAATCAACGTTCGCCCTCACTGTGATACACGTATGTGCAACAACGTAGTTTACTTAGGCCACAGGGCCCAGGGGCAGTGGAGAGATGACACCATGCCTCCCCCTAAGATGCATTTTGAGGCATTTTCAATCCTTCTCGGGTAAACGTCATTTTGGCGAATGGTCATACAGTGTCGTAGAGCGTTCATCTGGTGTTCGATTGCCACCAAATTTGGCGAGCATTCATGTTTCATATAGACAGACTTGACTCTAGAACTGCATACCCAAATTCCTTTCAGAACCTTGACTTTTGAGGATTAAGGCCCAAAGCCCTACCCGGCTTTTCAACAAGTCTATCTTTGACACTTGTGTCTACTCGTGGACCATATCTTGCTTATGTCTCGTAGAAAAAATTCGATGTAAGCTTCAGAATTGGTAGGAACCTTTCACTGACCTCTCAAGGCCAGATTCTAATTTGAAAACCTTTATGGTCAGAACATATGAACAAATCCCAGAAGCTAATCTCACTTTCATCTGCTGACAACAACTATCAGGTCTACTTAGCAACTTGGATTCACAGAATGGTATAAGAATTCTCAAAAGCAGTTAGTGGTAATTTTTCATTGCTTCTGGCAGTAAGCTTCCTGGGGACCAAATTCTGATTAGGAAACTTCTTACCGTAGATGTACTGAAGTACCGCAGTCCATACGCTAATTTTGCTTGCATCTGCCAACTCTAACTATATGATGTAAAGTACTATATTTACAAGAATTACTAACCTCAAGTTCAAATGGCATTGCTGGCACTCCATTCATGCTTTTTGGGTTCAATCGTGGCAACAATGATTCAATAAAAGCCTGTCCTCCTGGACTGAAGATGATCACCATCATGCAAAAAGAATTGCAATGTCAGAAATGTTGTACGAGAGAAAGAATATGGCACCAGTTCCAAGTTAGATGGATACCGGTTATAATCGAATATGAGGACACAGTCCGGCATAGCTATTGCTCGCAGCGATCCCAGATTAAGTAAAATAGCATTTTCACGGACCTGGGATTTGAACCACAAAAAAAATATTGCTAGTATCATTTATCGACTTTAATTTCTTAATTTCATATGCTTATGCCAAATGCTAACACTTCAACATAAAAAGCTTATAATCTAAAAGATACAATCGGGAACTAAAATGGTGGAAATCAACATACCAGTAATGTAGGCATTGAGTTTGTCAAAAATAAAGATGGATCAACACTCCGGACATCACGTGGACGAAGCCCTGATAGTTAAAAGAATATCCACAAGAGAAAAAAATGAAAGGAAAACATATATAGTTTCTTAACAAAAAGTAGCAAATCATATTATTTGTCATCCCACGGTTATCTATATGTGAAGGGGTAAAAATCCAACAGTGAGACATCCGGTAGCAATTTACATTCCAGAAAGAAAGTGCACAGAAGTCAATGCAGACTAAAAGTTTTCAACGGCATATACATCTAGAAGCTAAACATCGAAAAGAGAACCAGAAAGTTCTGATAAGATTTACTCACCACTTGACTTCAACAGCTGACGTCTGTTTATCTTCCTAGTAGATACGGCACCATTGGCTTTAACCTCTAATACCTAAGTTGTCAATAAAGATGAACATTGGGAGTTAGATCTCCCCTTCATCTAAGAAAGAATCCCTCAGATAAATCTCCACAGTTGAGGAATCAAATCAGTGGAAGGATTATATTAAATATTCTTCCATAAGCTTAAATTTTGTAAATATTCTGCCCTTAAAATAGAAGTTTTTTTTTTTTTTTTTTAACCTCAAAGAGGAGTGAATACCAGGAATTAAACTCCTCAAAAGTCATAATTGTGCATCATGTCTTTGATGGGGTATGATTTATGCAGAGCATATGAAATAAGATTTGTCCCCTGACAAACGTTGGTGTACCTTAGAAACAGGTTAGAAGTTCGAATGAACTCTAAAAAAAGTATAAAACAAGAGGTTGTAGGCCGCTAATGTCTTTAATATTTACAAAACATTAAATTACTACAAGATTAGATGCACTTAAAACTGTTTAAAATTTTAACATTAAACCTATTGCAACATAGCATCATAACTGGAACATCACTTATGGATGCAAGGAAGTCTTACTATTACTACTCAACGTTCTTCAACATCAAGAACAAAATTGCCCCTATTAGCAACTGACGACGAATAGGCATTGGCAGACTCAACATTCCCTAGCTAATCTCCCTCATGAACCAATAATTGACTTGATTCAAATTTTCGTTTCGATGTTAAAACTTTCTACTCTAATTCAACAACAAAAAAACAAAGACGAGAAATAAATTCCCTGCGGAATTGGAAGTAGCAGCAAACACATACCAATTCACGTAAAAAAAAAAAACGTTTTGAAGCAACAGACCTCATAAACCGACTCACGAATCGCAAGCGACAGATAATCACTCGGCGACGAGGAAGAAATCCTCTGCGCAGAAGCAGCAGAGACCACAGAGCTTTCTTGCTGAACACCAATATCATCCTCACGATCTCCCCCTTCGTCAACATCGGACATCAACGCTTCCGATTCACTCCACTGATCCTCCTCAGTGGACATGGAGAAACACTTGGTCCTGGAAGATAAAATCATCCTGCACTTCCGCGACGGAGGCAAAGAGGAAAGCCATGGAGATCGGAAGAAGCGCGATACGGAGCCGAGGTCAGAAATGAGAAGGTGGCGAGAGGACGAGGAGAGTGCTTGAGGAGGGAATCGAATGAGTTGTAGGGATGGATAGAGCGCCATTGGAGAGCGATACGAGCTCTCTGGTTGTGAACATTAAATGGGTTTTGAGCTTTTCTCGGAAGAAGAAGGAAAAAGAGGCGTAGTATTTATATATGGAATTAAATACGAATGGATAATGTTGAATAAATATTTTAATAAATAAAAAAATAATTAATTAGAAAAAATTTATGATTTGATTTCTCTCATTGGTTAAGGAGAGGTAGTTGCTTGGTTTCTGATTCGTCCAATCTTGGGATCTCCAATTAATTTCTAAATGGATAAAAATACATTTAAATTTTATTATAAAAAATAAAAAATACTCTTAAATTTTCTAAAAATTTCAATAATATTAACTTCAAATATATATATATATATTTAAAAATACACTGATAAAATATTTAAAAAATACTCTTTCTTTTAAAATTATTTAAAAAAATACTTGAGTTTTCGAAAGTTTCGTTCGTTTCTTAAATCGTTCGTTTCTTAAAAATTCAAAAATATTCTTACTATTAGTATCACATTTCAAAAATATTTATTAACTTATTTATGAAGTGAGTGATTTCATAATGAGATTAAAAAACGATGCTTCTTTGGTCACCAGTCATACCTACTCACGCCGGTATGAGAGCCCAAGTTATGCAAATATGATGTAGTGAAAGGTGCATGGTCACCAGTCATACCTACTCACGCCGGTATGAGAGCCCAAGTTATGCAAATA